ACTGACCCATCAAATTATCTCTCCATCTCTCTCAACTCCATCGTCTCCAAAATTTTCGAAGATGTCATACAAAACACATAATGAATCATCTTGATGCAAACAGCATACTGACTGATACACAACACGGATTCCGACCCAAATGATCCTGTGAATCCCAACACATTATTACTCATCACATTTCCAAACTCCTTCGCAAAGCCTTCCACAAAGTCACTCACACAAGACTTCAAAAAAACTCTTCAATGGATCACAAATTCTCTTTCTTACAGGCTCCAGCACGTTCTTCTTGAAGGTACTGTATCTAATCCTGTCCTTGTTTCTTCTGGTTTCCAAAGGGCACCGGCTTAGGCCCTCTCCTTTCGCTATTCTACATAAATAATCTCCCACTATCTACCACAAATTCTACAGCTAGACTTTTTGCTGACGACAGTCTCATCTATCGGCCGATCAAGACACCTGACGACTGTAAACACCTCCATAAAAAACATATGGCAAATGAACTTTAAATTTCACCCGCCCACAAACACCCATAAGATTCCCTTACTCATTCCACTTTCAACAACTACCGAACACATCATCACATAAATATCGCCCATTACACTATACCTCAACACGAAGTTCAACTCGCATAGATATTATACAATACAAAGCAAACAGAACACTGGATTTCCTGAGGAGGAATCTACACGGCTGTACACTTTTCCATCTAACACTGGAGTATTACGCAGCAGTGTGGGACTCACACACGCAAACATATATCAATAAACTAGAATAGTTAAACACCGCAGCAGCAAGGTTCATTGCGAACAATTGCGTTAAAACTCCTGACATCATAACAACAATTAAATATGGACACCCTCACAGTACGCAGACAAGCACACAGATTAATAACTATGCTCAAAATCACAAATAAATTGACAAAAATAAGCACGGTTACATGCCCCACGCAAACACAATTAACACACGTACCGTTCAATGCCAGTAATACGTGACATACCACACTAGTACAGAATACAGATTACATTAATACTTTCCGTGGGTGGAACCGACTCCCACAACATGTAATACATGCATATAAAACAGACACCATCCACCAACTCGCACTAGCACACCTCAGAACACATACAAAAACACATACAAATGTTTATCCACTCTCAAACCCCCTTTTTTCCAACAGCCAACTCCGATATGAGCGTGATATCCGCTAACGCATATATATAACGCACATCATATCTATGCATGCATGCATGCATGCACACGCACACACACATATATATAACAAATATATGTATATATACATACATACATAAATATATATATATATATATACATATATATATATATATATATATATATATATACATACATGAATATATATATATATATATATATATATATATATATATATATATATATATATATACTGTGTAAATACATACCACGGCTTTTAGGCAAGAGGGAGGATATGGGTTCCTTAGTTTTCTAGAGGCATTTCGAAAAGTAAAAGAAAAGGAAAGCAAATTAAATCCCAGCCAAGAATCGTATTGTAGATGACGAAGAAAGAGCTAAGATTCGGCCACGCACGATTCGACCCGCCGATGCGCGAACGAACGAACGAGTGAACCCCATCTTGGACGAACTACCATAAAAACCGACGGATGAACCCCGTATCCCCTCCCCGATCGCCGTATAAACCTCTCCCCTTCCAAATCACCGCTTTCCCTACCCGAATGCATAGTCCATAACAATATTCTGTATATTCAAAGATGCAAATTTTGCTTACCTTATGGTGAAGAGAAGGCTGGTTGGGAAATGGCCAATCTCTCTAGATCTCCTGCAGGCTGGAACACGGCTGCTGAACTTTACTTAAATTGGCTCTTATCCCTGAGATCGCAATAGTTTGAACAAGAGGGCGTTTTCGTGATAAAATTGGGGAAAGGGAACACATATAGCACTGTAAGCAAACTTCACTTTTGAAACGAGCTATGGGGTAGCTGTGGCAACTGAATTGTTATATATGCGGTAGATGGCTGTGTGTGCGCAACGTACCGTCGTCAGACAATTACACAGATTGATGAACATATACCGAGGAGGGAATGAGGGAAAAGGCAGAAAGAAAAAATGCCTTAAATAAATCGTATAAAATACTGAATTATGGTGTATAAATTGCCATTTTCGTTAATCTAGGAACCAGAGAATATGATCAATATTCAAGCTACATTTCATTATAATCAATATTAGTCATCTTCCTCAGTCAACCCTTACTCAGCTCTGTATACTAATGGCGATTATTGTACGTCCATTGCATAACAAATTGTAAAACTAAATCAATTCTTCTGTTTACAGTGAGCTATCTCATAGCATATAGCTAAGCTTAATTCATGATTACATTTATGAGCAAGATATCTACACTTCTATCGTCTTCTAATATCATTTCATTTAAATTTGGTTTTGTTCTGTGAATTTTCTATAAAAAAAGTATACCAATTTAAATTTCTCTGACCACAATCTGTATCGCAACAACGCTGCAATATAGTCCTATATGTGGAAAAAGGTAACCTAAAGTCATTTACATTTTCTAATAAAGAGCAATTGAATGCTCGGTAAAATGTTGTTGTTCCTCAGTCTATTGTGCCTGTGATGTTCTCATTAGAATATTGATGGATTACAAACTTTGGTGTACCAGCTTTCCCAGCGGAGAGTGATTTATTGGCGGGATATTTTGATTCATCGCATGTCGAAATACATTATATTTCCTAAAAAACTTTCGGCAGTATATTTACTTGAGGTACAGGCATTGCAGTGATATTTCATCTCGTAATTTTTTGAAATATGATGAGAGGTGTGTGTAGATGCATCGTAATAAATTGATTTTGTTTCTGCAGTGTAAAACTCACACACACACACACACACACACACACACACATACACACACACACACACACACACACACACACACACACACACACACACACACACACACACATATATATATATGTTTATATATGTATACATACGTATGTATGCATATATGTATACACACACACACACACACACACACACACACACACACACACACACACACACACATATATATATATATATATATATATATATATATATATATATATATATACATATATATGGTGTTTTTGTGCAACTGTACATGTGTGTGCGTGTATGTTTTTGAGCTTACATGTGTTCGCGTGTGTTTGGGTATGTGTCCATCTGTCACAAAATGCCTTTTCAGCCAGTATGCCCATCCTAGTTTAACCCTTTAGTCAAATCACCAGCTGTAATTTCCTCCTCCCTTCTATATGAAAAATAAATAAATAAATAAACCCAAAATCAACATAAGTTTCTGGCAATTTGTTGACATTGACAGCAGCTCAGCAAGTATGAGCATTGTTGATAATACAGAGGACAGCGGAGTTCGCATGTGAAGTACTGCATTGAGAGGTCTGGAAGACTTCAGACGAGCAAATGGAGAACCAGTGGGTGATGCCACTTACGTCGCAATGGCCATGACAATGGATCGATGAAACTTTTGGCGATACTTTCTTAGGTCGCCATAATACCTAATTCTCAAGGGTTCGGACTTCCACATATTTAACAGGAACGATCGAGATCTTCGTTTTTGCGATACTGTGCATTAGGAGGCGAACAGCTATCTCCAGGCTCATAGTCTGAGCATCTATCTTGAACCTTGTGGTCACAAATGGGAATTTTTTTTTTTTTTTTTATGAGAGGGACTTACAGCAAGGGGAACCGATCTTCTTTAGACGCTCATCGGAATTTAGTGCATATGCATCAATCGTTTCTGGTAGGAGCTTTTTGTCCCAAGATGAGAATGACAATTTTCTTCATCAAGAAAGTGTCATTGTTGAAGGTATAGATGCTTGAGGCTGAACTGGAGTTGGTAATACCGATACAGAGGAGTCCGATATGAGCTTGACACCTTTTTAGCCACATATGGCGGATTTCATAAAATTTGTAAAGCTTGTAAGTTCATGGAAGAGTAAATCAGTTAAGCTTACCCAGACAAACTGCGAGAGTGGACCGCATGCAAGATCAGTGCACAGATTGCAGTGGCAAGCTACCAGGATAGTGCTTTCATATGCACACAGTTATAAGATTTTCCCTTGCTCAAAAAGCTGTAGCAAATGTCTTTTCTTTTCAGCATTTTGTGGAATCTGAAGTCAATTTGCCATGTTGCCAGTGTCTGGAGTGTGTAAGGACAAGAGGGTAGTTGGTGGGGGTTGGTGGGATTGTTCATCCTGTTTACTTTCTGTTTTCTTCAAACAACAATGACTCTAAAGTTTGAGAATTTCTAATTATGCTTATTTACACACTTGACTGGATAGGCAGAAAAATAATATGAATATGGATTTTTACAGCACAAACCTAGTTTTTAGTTATTCATCTGCCCCAGAGTAATAAGATTTTTTAAAATCTTCATTTATATGACTGGTCATGTTAGTGTGACCAAGGCACATATAAGGCATTTTCTACATTCAAGACATATCAGCCTATGGTTCTGAACTAAGAAATAAATATCCACAGCACTAGGAAAAGAAAGAAAATGAAAAATGGAATAAGCTAAAAAGAATTATATAAATATAGTTCCTCCATTCAGTTTCTTTATTGTACTGTTACTGAGATTCTTGGTTCTATAGGGATGCATTGGCACAAAAATATGTACAGATCTTTATCTGGTATTCTAATATAAAAGCAATTATAAAGGTATAAAAGTAAGCATGGTGTTCTAAAGAAAGATTTTGGCCCAAGTGCACATATGTTATTAAAGGAAATACTGTTCACTTGAAAGCCTTTTAACCTTAAAAGTTGAACAGATAAGATTTTTTGTGGTCCTCCAGATTTATAACTGGATTATAACTATAAAATGAACTATGATCATACAGTATGTATTGGTTAATGTGGGCAATTAAAAATTGTTTTTGCAGTTATATAAACAACAAGAAAATTAGAGTAATTTTTTATTCTTTATGCTTGGCAGTATTCTTGGTTCTTTACATATTCTTTTAGTACAGCATATATTTCTTTTGTGTGTGTGTAGTGAGAAAAGTGCTAAGTATATCATATTTTACTCCATAAAATTGAAAGAAAGTAACAGCTAGCTTTGAATACCAGTTGCATCAGTTAAAAGGAATAAAACTACTCATTCACCAGAAGAGTTCTTTAAAATTACAAGTCAAAATATACGTTGAATTACACATTTCACTCTGATGAAGTATTCAAAATATATTTCAAAAATAGAATTTTGTGATTCTACAGCACACTGTTTTCCAGAGAAATTAAAAAAGGAAGATGACATCAAAATTAATTTTGCTATACAATATCTGTTTGGGAATCCACCAAATATAAAATTTATAATATATGTGTATATATATAATTGATAAGGTATCACTGTGTATAAAGCACTAGGTGATCATATTATTATCACAAACTTTAAGGCGCCAAATACATGACTTAACTTACATAATGCCCTTTACTAAATCAATTAAATATTTTAGTCTCATAGGTATTTTTATCTACATTCCATATTTCTATATACACTCATCAGATCTTAAATAGAAGAGCCAATTAGTGAAATATCCCCAAGACTTTAATGCCTCATTAATGTCTCTCTCTCATTCTCCCTTGCTCTTTCTTTACATCTGCTGGATCTGGAGCAGGAGAGCTTTGGCAAGTCTCGACTCATATGTGACAGTGTTCTTGCCTGGATGCATGGCCATCTCCTCCAGTGGCTGCTCGATCAGCGTCTTCACATTTCGCCCATAGACTGCCAAGATTGAGAGTGCATTAGGATTTTCATTCAGGATTTAGGAGTTTAAAGTGTTAGTTTTAGGCAAACAAACAAAGGCAAACAGATCTTTTTAAACTCCACTTTAAAACAAAACCAACCTTCACAATGTTCCAAGAATTGTATGCACTCCTGGATGACTGAATCCTTCACAGTTATCATGTGCTTTGCTAAATTCTCAATGAGGGACAGGAAACATCTTTTAGCATAATACCTGAAAGGAAATATGAAGAAAAAATTAATGTCTTGACTTTTGTAATATTTCAATACATATTTGCATGTAATGAAAATCTCAGTGAAAATTAAAATCTCTGTTGTGTTAGATTGGAAATATGATTGGACATTAAAAAAACAGGGTACAAATTGGACAAATAAACATAAACCATTGAGAGTGCACAATAATAAAAAATACAGAATATGAACATATAATAAATGTGGAACTTGCTAAACAAACTTTGTCATCACCCATGAGATTTTAAAGTACTAAAAAGAAACACCCTTTAAATGATTTTCAGGAGAGAAGTTACAGCTCATGTTGACTTACCAAGTGTCAGTCCCAAGTTTCTTATTGTAGGGCTCTAGGCTCTTAATTACCCTTGAAATGCCAAACTCGTAGTTGCCTTTTGCACAGTAGAGTGTTCTAGTGGAAAAAAATGGATTTATATTTCCTTAGTTATCTAATTTTTTATAACTATCATATTCTAATCTGCTTCCTAAGTGTGAATTGTATTAGTGTTTAGTTTTATTTCTGTAAGTGGAGGATGATGTTTTATGAAATTAAATATTCTTCTTTCAAAGAGCTTTACCAATATATATACACACAACTCTGATACAAAAGTCAGCTCCCAAGATTATTCCTTACATCTGCTAATTAGAATAAACAGTATACAATGTAAATTTTGTTGGTGTACTGAGTGAATTTATCAGAAAAGAATATCATCACCATTTCAATCAGAAGATATACTAAAACTACAAATTATTATATAACTGACAACTAAGCAACTTAGGCAACTATAAATATATACAAACTGTAAAAACTCCTGTACATCATATTACAAGTCAAGCTCTTTTCTCACCCTATGACAAGGTTAACAATGCACAAGTGGTAGATCTTCTTGTCGGGGTCCTCATATGCCAGCTGCTCCTCTTCTTTCTCAATCTTTCGCATCAGCTCCTCAGCCTCTTCATTTTGGCTTGTCATGATGTACGACACACACAGGTTGGCTAGCACTATAGCACTCACATTCAGGATCTGTTTTTTATATTTTTAGGAGGTATTTTATTATATGATACTTTTAGACTGTATTAATCATATGATTACAGACACAGACAGAGAAGAAAAATTAAATTACTGGTATTCTAAATCCAACTGTGTTGCATATTCTTGAAGGAATATATAATTGCAATGCTATAAAACTTATTATAATCATCCTTACAGCTAGAATTAATCCTTATACCTACTTTTATGAATCATACTCATTCATAACATAGTTCATCTAATCAATATTTTTTATTAACTTATTTAAAGCTCACATTATCATAGTTCTTCTTGACAATGGGCTCATAGAACCCAGTGGCTTCCTTGAACTTGTTTTCCTGCATGAAGAGCACATGTGCAACATTCAGTTTCCATACATCAGACTCGTTGCAGAACTCCACTGACTTGCGGAAGATCTTCTCCACCTGCGAGTAGTTCTCAAGATCCCAGTAGATCTTTGCTTGTGCCATGAGCACAGGGATGTACCTGGGAATGGAAGTTGCAGTTATCTTTTTTTCCAACTTTATGGTATCTGTTTTTGCATGTGACAAAGTGGATCTTTTATCTTGAAAAAAAAAACAAGGAATCTAACCTTTCAAGGACTTCTTCATACTCATTCACTGCATTTTTAACCTGGTCATCATCATGGTTCTGGCGAGCTTCCTGCACAACCTTAGTCAATTTCCGTAGCAATTCAATATGCCGCGAGCCAAGTTCATCAAACTTGCGGTATGCCTCTGAAGGTGACGTTTGTTGTGTGATAAGGGCATCAAGGAAGTCGAAGAGGTGCTGGATGTTAAAACAGATATTTTAATATTGTGAAATATGAATATACGGTAGATAAGAAAAGAAAAGAATAATGAAAGAAGGAAATTGAAAGTACCATGAAATTAATGCAAGACTACTCCTATTCGTCTTACCAAAAAACAAAAAATGACCCATTAAATTACCAGTTTACTTATTTTCTTTTTACAATAAACAACACACCTTCCATTGCCCCTATCACTTCACCCATCCAGCTACTCACTGGTGTCAGGTACTTGTAGGTGAGGTGCGCGTTCTCAGCCAGGACGTCTGCTGCCAGGTGGTAATATTCATACTTGCAGTAGAGGAGCAGGAGGTTGCCAAAGGTCTCTGGAGGGAAGGGGTTCTGACCCAGGAGGAACTGCATCTTCTCAAAGCCATCTGTGGGTTTCGTGTCCATGTTCATGAGAGCCTGAGTAGGAGGAGATAATGAGATATTAACAAAAGGTTACCATTTTATTCTACATGCAAACAGAGACAATATATAATTGAGAAGCATTCACAATATATATATATATATATATATATATATATATATATATATATATATATATATATATATATATATATATATATATATATATGTGTATATATATACATATATGTGTGTGTGTGTATATACATATATACATATATGTGTGTGTGTGTGTGTGTATACATATATACAGGGTTGCAGTTACAGATACCAACCTCTAACAATTCCAGTACTCTCTCTCCTTTCCACAAGTTGTATCAAAGAACACACAATACATAAACTGCCAATAACTGAATACAAAATCCAACACACCTGATTATGGAGCGTGACGGCATCCAATTCTTCCTCTGATCTCGGTGGCATGTCTGTTAGGGCTTCCCGAGCAGCTTCATCTGCAAAACAATGGAGTCATATAAAAAGAACTGTACCTAGACTGTACAGCTCTAATGGGACTAGGTATAAAGATTTAACAGATTCACCCCAGATTTATGTTCTGCCCCCTGTAGTTTTTGGTGAATTTTGTTACATACAGATGGCTCTACATGTGCTCAGTCTGCACGGAGTCTATCAGGAGGCTTTAGTTGCCGATCCCGATTTTCCCATTCCTTGAATTGGCGGGAAAATGTATCAATACTGTTATTATTGTTATTGATGATATGATTATCAAATTGTCATTAAATTATTTTAGACAATGAAATGATACAAAAGACCCTTTCCTAAAGTGAAGGAAAAGGGTAATCAGATGAGATAAGTAGTTCTGATAACTTGCTATTTGGTGATTAAGCATTTGTAGAGCCATCTATGTGTAAATACAATAAATAAACATGTATTACAGTGGGCATGGCGTGTATTCTTGCCACATGGGGCGAATGGGTTAAGATAAAGAATGAATATAATCAAACTGAAAGAGAGTGAACAGAACTGATATAAAAAGAAAGTAAGGTAGATATTGCCATACTGGCAGGTGAAACTGACCCTGAATTTTATTGTACTAATATAACAGTAATGGATAAAAATGGTATAAAATTATTAGTTTTGCTGAAAATGATGAGGTCAATCTTCCTTCCACTGATTTTTCAGAATTTTATCTTTGCTGGGTGATGTCCTATCACTTCAGAGCAAAAATTTCATAGACAGCATAATCAAATCAAAGGTTGGGCCCCTGCAACTAGGATAATACTTAGGATCCCAGCCTTAATCCAGACACCAGCCTTGGTGTGGGGCAACATGATCTTAAAAAAGATTATTCTAAATTTTGTCCTAAATAAAAGGGTTAAAAAGATTAAGCATGGAAGAAAGAGGATCTTAATGCTCTAATTTTTCTTCTTATTTGTCAAATTTTCTTTCCATTTACCCTTTCCAGAGGGAGTTCCAGTATCTCAAAAAGAGAGTTATCACTAATAGGTTCAGAAAATGGGATACTTTGGTTTACATTGACAGAGACATCAACATATGCCAAAAGTAAATAAGCTGAAATCAGTACTATATTTCATATTACACAGTATTTCCCACTTCTTATCAATGAAACAAGATCAAAGTTACTTACAGTTTTTGAGTTGGTATTCAATGGCAGCTTTAAGATTAAAAGCTTCAATGAGTGCAGTCTCATGCAGAGTTAAAGTGTTTCCAACACTGCGCACCTCAATGCCCTCTGTTGTCATGCCAACACTGAGCTCTGGGTGTTCACGGATCCCTCGCTCAATGATGTCAGCTTTAGTGGGGAAATAAGGAAAATTTGAATATGCCTATTTATCTAAATCAATTCATTTTTGGATAAATAACAACTCTTATATAGAACCACAAAAGAATCTACTAATATCACATCAGAACAATTGTATTCCTTGGTAACTTTACAATCAAGGCTCTATTAAGGTCAAAATCCCCCATCTCAAAAACAATACTAAGCATCAAAAGTACACCCAACTCACCAATATGCTTGAGTGCTGGAGCGTACTGCTTGAGCCGGTAGTGGCACAAGGCAATGTTATAGGAGAGGTGTGGCTGGTTGCCTGCAACTTGCAAGGCACTTGTGAACTTCTGGCAGGCCTCTTCAAACCGGCCTTCCTGTGTATCCAGTAATGAAGGGTTAACGATGTTGTTTAATAAGATCTTTTAAAGAAATGGGGTTTGACATTATCTTAAGAGTTGTACTGCTGGAAAGTGACCTTCCAGTGCTGTAGAAAATGTGTTTCTCATGTATCATGTGGTGTTCCTATTTCTGAGGTTACTGACTGCATCCCTCAGACTAACTCACCTGAGGTTAAGAAAATTCTTTTTGTAATCTTGTTTTAGGGGTTATAGTGTCAAAATCTTTCTATGTATTAATAAAGTCTTTGGAGGCAAACTAGTCCTAAAGCACTTCTGAATATTCTTTTGTATGCAATAAGAAAAAATAACTTCACAGAGTAAGAGATGTAATCAACAAATTTTGATTTATCTCCATTAGAATTCTATTTAATTCTGATGATGTAACAAAATGTGTCAGTTGTATCCTTATTCTGTGATGTTATTCATTACCATTAATACTTAGTTCATTCCTTAAATGCCTTCCATACAGACAAATATAAAAATTAACACATGTATAAAAAAAAATTATGACTTCTAGCAGCTAACAGAGGAAAACATCAATTATCATCTGAATTTTCATTAAGAAATAATAAGGAGAATCATTACCAGTAACTTTGGAATAATAACAGTAATTATTAAACTTATCAAGAATGAATGAATAAATTAGTTAACAAATAATGATGATGATGATGATGATGATGATGATGATGATGATGATGATGATGATGATGATGATGATGATGATGATGATGATGATGATGATGATGATGATAGTAACAATAATAATAATAATAATAGTAACAATTATAATAATAATAATAGTAACAATAATATTAATAATAATAACAAAAATAATAGCTAGAGTAATAATAGTAATAATAGTAATGAAACTAATATCAATGATAACATTGATAACAATTGCAACAAAAGTAATTAATATTCTGTTCTGAATGAAAAACAAGTCCCACTCACCTGTGTTCCATTTCCCCCCTCAAAAAAGAGATCAATAATAACTAAAACCTGATGACCTACCTTATAGAGGAGACATCCATGGTTGACCTCCGTGTCTGGGTCATCAGCTGGGCACTGGTCAACCAGGCTCTTGGCCCCAGGCAGGTCCTCCTCCCCGTATTTGATGGCAGCCTGGAGTTTGGTGATGCGGCCTGCATACTCGGCTCCTTCGATCTGATGCGTCACCTTCATGGACTCCTCATATAGACAGGCCTGGGGGTTGAGGATGGGAAAATAGAGAGAGAGAGAGAGAGAGAGAGAGAGAGAGAGAGAGAGAGAGAGAGAGAGAGAGAGAGAGAGAGAGAGAGAGAGAGAGAGAGAGAGAGAGAGAGAGAGAGAGAGAGAGAGAATGACTCATTTAACACAAATATACAACACAAATTGTTGAACAAAAAATCATATTGCACATCATATAGTCCAACCCAGTTACTCCCACCATACTCTGAATGACTATGAGAAAATAATTAATTAATAGAATTGATTTGTCAAACATATTTGTTTTCATATTCAAACTTTCACATTTAACATTCATTTCATTGTGTTATGTTCCCGAGACAATGTTACTTTGTCTTGTTTATTGATGGAGAGAGAGGGAGAGAGAGGGAGAGGGAGAGGGAGAGGGAGAGGGAGAGGAAGAGGAAGAGGAAGAGGAAGAGGAAGAGGGAGAGGGAGAGGGAGAGGGAGAGGGAGAGGGAGAGGGAGAGGGAGAGGGAGAGGGAAAGGGAGAGGGAAAGGGAGAGGGAGAGGGAGAGGGAGAGGGAGAGGGAGAGGGAGAGGGAGAGGGAGAGGGAGAGGGAGAGGGGGGGGGAGAGAGAGAGAGAGAGAGAGAGAGAGAGAGAGAGAGAGAGAGAGAGAGAGAGAGGGAGAGGGAGAGGGAGAGGGAGAGGGAGAGGGAGAGGGAGAGGGAGAGGGGGGGAGAGAGGGAGAGGGGGGGGAGAGAGGGAGAGGGGGGGAGAGAGAGAGAGAGAGAGAGAGAGAGAGAGAGAGAGAGAGAGAGAGAGAGAGAGAGAGAGAGAGAGAGAGAGAGAGAGAGAGAGAGAGAGAGAGAGAAGAGAGAGAAA